AAAAAAAAAAAAAAAAAAAAAAGGTTGGAGATCACTGCTCTAAGCAAACCTATAGTTTGTTTACCTGAGGGTTATCGCTTCCATTTTGGGGGATGAGAGCTTGTATAATGGCAGACTCCAGAGAAGCAGAGATTTCCTATTGGTCTCAGATGCCTCACAGGAAGCAGCACAGCACAGGAGAAATCACGCACGTGGAGTGGCCACATTCAGACGTGAACCCTGACAGTGACAATTCTAATTGTGTGGACTCAAGCTACCTAACTTCTCTAGGCCTTACTTTCCCCATATATAAAATGGTAGACACTGGTGTCTACGCCTCTATGTTTCACAGAGAAATCTGTGTGGAGTGAAGGCATGATGCCATATATTGACTGTTCCAGCTCTCTCCCTCTTCTTCCCCGCTTACTAAAATAGCTTACTGTGATCCCTAGATCCTATGTACAACAATTATTTATAACATTCATGACAATAGCATTTATTAAGACTTTATACTGCGTGCTAATGATGCACAAGCCACTGTATGAAATAAATTCAATGTAGGATAAAAATTCTCTGTCCTCAACAAGCATAAAATCCATCAGGGCAAACAGAAAGATGCTCGTTTACCTGTGAGGTAGGATAGGGTGTGAAAAGTGCTGGCACAGTGGCCCGAGAGGCCATGGAAGCCAGAGGCAGATGGGAGCACAGCTGGCCGAGGGGGCTGCATGGGTGAATCACAGAATTAATTATAAACCCAGGGGTGGAAGGTACTTTAGAGAAGAGCCTGTCAACCTAGCTTGCACACCAAAGCCAGCTGGAAAGCTTTGGAAAAGTTTCCCCAACTTGAGTACTTTTAAAAAGTCAGGTTCAAAATTACTGAATCAAATCTCCTCCCAGCTCTCAGTAAATAAATGTTGAATGGAATCGTCTCCATCAACTCCTTCTTAACTGCTACAGAAACAGAAGCTAAGTGAAGCGGGCACGTACTGAAGACACACAGAGAGGAGGCAGTGGTGGCAACGGGTGGTCCTGGCATGAGATCCAAAAGTAGAACTCAGGCCTCCCCATGCAGGGGCAAGAGTTATCTATGCTGCATTTGCAAGGCAATCTTCTGTGTGACACAGAATACCAAATAGACCCAGGTTACTTTCCAGGTATAAAAGAAACCCAGGTCATGGGGGGGCTAGATGGCCACTGTTAGGACATCCAAAATTCTCAAGTTAAACACACCATACATACCAAACCACAAAATAGAAGTATTTAAAATACGGAATCCTCCCAAATAAGTGTCTGTACATTGATTAACTGCTGTATTACTTATCTCACAGATAGTTCAATGCCCTTTTAACAAGTGCTTTGTGATGCACAGAAACATAATTCAAACACTGAAAAAACATTCCAGCATAGAAGTATGTTTTTAGTATTTTAAATGATATTCAAAATTGTGTCATTTTTCAATAAATATCAACTAGACATGTGTGCAGATGCTTCTCGTTTTTCTAAGTGAAAAGTTAATGGTTAAATATAAAAATGATACTTATACGTAGGAAATGGCTTTATTACGACAGCTGAGCCACACTTTTTTCTTTCTAATTCTACTCTCTAATCTACTAGGTTTTTCATAAACTGATAAATAAGTGGTTTGAAGGGACAATATATTAGCTATAGACTTTTGGTGTAGTGAACATGCTTATATATAAATTTGAATTTGTCCAACTACTCTGTTAGAATAATTTCTGTAGGCTAGGTCTGTTGAGGGCTACATTGTGAATAAATGTCCCATAATAGGAATGTTTTTCCAGTGTGTGAATGAGTGTTCCACACTTCTTAAAATTGTACAAACAGGCTCGGCTCCTGTAGCTCAAGCGGCTAAGGCACTAGCCACATACACCAGAGCTGGCAGGTTCGAATCCAGCCTGGGTCTGTTAAACAACAATGACAACTATAACCAAAAAATAGCCAGGCATTGTGGCGGGCGCCTATAGTCCCAGCTACTTGGGAGGCTGAGGCAAGAGAATCGCTTAAGCCCAAAAGTTTGAGGGTGCTGTGAGCTATGACACCACAGCACTCTACCCAGGCCGACAGATTGAGACCCTGTCTAAAAAAAAAAAAAAAACTGTACAAACATGAGATATTCGTATTTTTAATCACTGATAATGTAATATTATAAGGAAACTTTGCTTCTTCTTCTGATAATGTTAAGCTAAGTCATCTTCATACAATCTTAGCTTTATCGGTCATTTGTGTTATTTCATCTTCTTCTGCTCCTTGTATTTTCAATTCCCTTTGTAATCATATTCTCTTTGTTACTGATTTCTATGAGCTCATTTATGATTAGGGATGTCAATATTTTGTCAAGCATTGCAAATGAAAGATCATATTTATTATTTATTCTCATTTGATTTTTTGGTCATACAGAAGTTACATGCTGAAATAGAATCATGTTATGTTTTATGCTCATAAATAAATTGCTTTGTGAATCTGGTTCCTACTTTCCCTCTATTTTGCTAAATCTCAGTTTCCTTCTCATTTTGATATATACAACAGATGGACTTTAAAGTCCCCGTAGCACCAGTACCAACTTATGCTCTGGCTCTGAAGATCCCATAAGATCAAGGTCCATGTGAATGGCTCTGTAGGTATAAAAGTTATCCTTCAGTCCACTTACAATCATAAAATGTGACACTTTCCAAGTGCTCCCACGTTTAAGAAGCACTGCCTTGGCTGGGCGTGTTGTCTCACACCTGTAATCCTAGTACCCTGGGAGGCTGAGGTAGAAGGATTGTCTGAGCTCAGGAATTTGAGACCAACCTGAGCCAGAGGAAACTCCATCTCTAAAACTAGCCAACCGTTGTGGTGGGTGCCTGTAGTCCTAGCTGTTGAGGAGGCTGAGGCAGGAGGATCATTTGAACCCAGGGGTTAAAGGTTGCTGTGAGATATGATGCCCCAGCACTCTCTCAAGGGTGACAAAGTGAGACTCTGTCTCTAAATAAACCACACATATCACTTTTAAAGTCAGAAAAAATGCCATTCAAAATGAGATGCTGAGAAAAAAATGCCCTACACTGATAGCCACAGGGCTGTACACGCTTAGTGCCATCTTCTCACCAACTCTGTAAGTTCACTCCACTCCAGTCTCCCTACTGTATGCTTGCAACTGTACGGCTCACTCACATTTTTGGTTTGGTTAACTTCATTTCTTCCTTTCCCCACAACTTCATTGTTGTAGACCATAAGGCAGCCAACGGGAACTTCGGTATTTGCAAGGGCTTCTTTGGCCTAAAACACAAAGTGGAAAATCTAAGACGTAATGCTCAGTACTCAAAAAGACCAAAAGTGGACAAGAGACTTGACCAGAAACTTCTGTGGCCAATCGATGAATGGCCAAAAACATGAGAAATGCTCCTCAACCCTAATCATCAGAGAAATGCAAATCAAACCACTCTATCACCTAACTCCAGTGCAATTAGACCACATCACAAAGTCCTAAATCTGCAGATGTTGGGATGGATATGGAGAGAAGGGAATACCTCTACACTACTGGTGGAATTGCAAACCTCTATGGAAAGAAGTATGAGGAATTCTTAAAAAACTAAAAGTCGACCTTCCATTTGATCCTGCAATTCCATTACTAAGTTTCTACACAGAAGAGCAAAAATCATTTTACCAAATATACATTTGTACCAGAATGTTTATTGCAGCTCAATTCATAATTGCCGAGTCATAGAAGCAACTCAAATGCCCATCAACCCATGAATAGATTAACAAACTGTGGCCGATGTATACCATGGAGTATTATTCAACCATAACAAAAGATGGAGATTTCACATCTTTTGTTTACCTGGGTGGAGCTGAAACACATTCTTCTCAGTAAAATATCTCAAGAATGGAAAAAACAACAACAACAACAACAATGTACTCAATACTAATTATGAGTATATAAACCAGTATATAAACAACTACATGCCCACATGAATAATAAAACACAAATATAGTCTAGCAAGGAAGAGGAGAGAGAAGGGAGAGGGGAAGGAGAGGTCGACTGGCGGGAAGAGGGAGGGCAACCGGCCGGATCTCACGTGCTGTGCACAATGTGAGGGTGTTCAGCACACCCCCCGGTGAAAGGCTCCTCTACCACTTGAACTTTACCTTACAATTGAAAACAATGTAACCTAAACATTTGTACCCTCAAATTAATTTGAAATTAAAAAAAAAAAAATAGATGTACCGTGAATAGGATACACGTGTACTAACACCAGAACAAAGAAATGCAGCTGAGCTTTCCTTTTTCTCAGACATAATTTTATTACAGTAATTAGCACCTGTGTTCTGTGTTGTATCTAGTTAAGGGAGACTCAGGAAGGAGTGCCCTTCATAGGTTCTAAGCCTCTGATTTCTTCTCTTTAGAGGAAGATGAGACCAAAGGACTGTCATTAACCGTGCTTCTTAAAGTGCCAGGGCTGTGTGCCTTTTCAAAGATAGTAAACATATTTGTAGGAAGGTAAGAGAACAAATCCCATTTATAAATCCTTTACTAGAATTATTTCCTTGTCGAAATTCTACTTGATTTTTTTGCATCTCTAAAATTATAGAAATTATCCTATAAAGTCTCCACAACATATAGGTGACCAGACTGGATGTCACCCTGTCCCACACTACACTACATAAGACAACAACATGTTAGGTGCACTCTTTGTAAAAATGGTACAACCACTCTAAAAAACAAATGGAGGTGATGTAGGAAGGATTTTCTGTAAATATTTCCTGAATATTTTTTGTGAGATATCTATGTATGTCTAGGTGGGCCACTTCAAACACGTACAAGAGAATCCAAGACCAAGTGGAAAGGACGTAGGTGGAAGGGCAGAAGGAGACCCCGTCTGGCCTCTGAGTCCTGTCTTCTTCTTCACCTGACAGCACCAGGGCCACCAGGTGAGTTTTCATTTTCCTCCTAACAAATTTATTTCATTTTACTCTATTTGCACCTCTCAGGATTATCTTCCTGTTTCTTTAGAGTAACATGGTTTTTTTCTTCAAATGCCTTCAATTGCTATCCAAATCAGAGAGAAAGTATGAGTAATGGGAATGGCTTAAAAGGACAAATAACATCATAGACGAGGAATGAGCATGTGGGTGAGTGGGTGAGCAGCTGGAACGGGGCCGAGAGAGGGGGTGGTAGAATAACACAAAGCCCATGGAAGTGAACGGAGGTAAACTGCTTTTTATGATACATACCTAGGGGTGTGTGTGTGTATATATATATATATTTTTTTTTTCTGAACAAGGCAGAAAATTTGAACCAAAAAAATAAAAACTGAAGGGAGGAGGAGCAAGGCAGTGAAACAGAAACCTGCAGTGATCATTCCTCCCGGTGACCCCCAAATTCAACAACTATTCATATATACACACAGAATCTGCATATGTGTGTGTGGGTGTTTGCTTTGCTGACAAGTTCAAAGTCAATTTCACTCCATCCCTATCTCATACTTTCCAAAGCTCCAGTCAATTCTACTGTCAAGTCTGATCACTTCTTTACAAATGCAAAAAAGCTCAAGCAAACCGGGTTTAGAAAAGCGTATGGGAAACTTTACATGTACCTTATTCTTGCCTTTGGGGGGATAGACAAAGGTCAGCACTAGATAAACATGGCAACTAACTAGGTCTTATCTAAATTCACAAATCCCCGGTTTTCAAAATTGAAGAATAGAATTTCTCTTCTTCCCAGTCCAAATGTTGGTCTCTATTTTGCCTTTAAATGTATTTTCTATTTTTCTCAAAGTCAGTTCCTACTCAGTTCCAGATAATGAAAACTCCTGGATCTGAGACTTTGTAGTTTTTGACTATTTCCTCTAGAGAAATTACTACTATAAACTACTTTCTAGTGAGGTGGTGATTAAAAAGGGAGAGATAAGGGACAGATTGTGTTTGTACAAACTCTTGATGAGTCCCCTAAGAAATATGTCCTATTAAAGATAAACAGTTAGGGGGAATAAAACATATTAGCCAGAATAACTATTCAGTGGAACATAATAATATCCAGGAGGTTAAAGTATACCACAACTGTACTACTAATTACTCTCAGAAGCTCTCTTTTCACTCTATCAACTTGAAATTCCTCAACAAGGCACTGAAGGCCTCCCAACTATCACCCACTCTCTCCACCAGCCAGCTGAACCCACCTGACTCCATTATTCTTGTAAGTCCAGTTCTTAATCTTCACAGAGCCAAACTTCTCTTTGAGAATCTGATGTAAGTTATGGAGTCTCTTGCTTGAATAAGGCACACACACATAATATCTCAAATACAGTTTCAGGGTTCATGGATTTCCTAAATCCTGAGCCCCAGGTTCAGAAGCCCAGCTCTAGACAGATATCTATATCACCTCCTAGCTCAAGAAAAAGTCCTTTATTTCTTTGTACTTGACAGCTGCTCTGCTCTGATTTACCTTTCCTATCCTTTCCGCCAGCTCACATCCCTTTTATCCCTTAAAATTCAGAGGGAACGTTATAATTTATCTCAACTGACTTGCTCGGGACCTTACCAGCTGGTATCTGATAGTACTTTGTAGCTGTCTCGTCTGATGGTCCCTGGGCATGTTACTCATCAACCTTTCCACTGTGTGTGGCTTAATTTCATCAATCACACAGTACATTCCTGGGAGACAAGCACTAGATCCAGGCACTAGGAAGGCTTTCCTGCTCACCTCTGCAGCCCAGGCACCCAACACAAGGCACAGAAAATACTTCATCGTATCACATTTGTTGAAAGAGGACAGTGTTTGTTTTGCTTTCTTTGTGAACTTCCCTTAGGACCTGGTACAATGTTATACTGAGTACCCCCAAAAGCATTTTACAATAAAAATACAATTGATTTGAGAAAACTTGCATCCTTTTTTCCTATGTGACTATATATGTATATAAGCAATCTTTCCTTTTTCCTAATTACAAAGGCAGAAAACTTGAACCAAAAAAAATAAAATCTGAAGGGAGGAGGAGCGGAGGCCAAACAGAAGCAGTCAGGCCACAAGGGTGCAGTCCCTGGGCAATTCCTGTGACCATGCTGACGTGGAGCCAGTGGACTTGGATGCACATGACCCAGTGAGACACAAATGGTGGCCAAGCTAGGGCCTGTGTCACCCCTCCCCATCTCCAGGCAGCGTGGCTCAGAGAGTCTTTTTCCACATGGGGAAAGGAAATGGAAGAGCTCGGCGGACTTTGTTTTGCATCTTGGCTACTAGCTCAGCCACAATAAAATAAAGTATCAAGCAGACTCCCGAAGCCCGTGTCCAGGCCTTAGTTAGGTCCAGGACAGCATATCTGGATTCACCCTGGATCAGAAGGAAACACGTTGCCTTGAAGGGAAGGACCTGGTCCCAGCAGAATTCATCATGTACAGACTAAAGAGTCCTTGGGTTTTGAAGAAACATCACAAGTAGCCAGGCAACAGTCATCACGGGCTTTGGGTGAGACAGGGCTGGTTCAGGTGTGACCTGGTGCAATCCTAGCTGCAGTGGCCACAGAGAATGCCCACATCTCTCCTCTCTCAACTCCAGCAGCCCAGCACAGAGGGTGAGGGAAAAGAGTGACAGACTCTGCCTGGTGATCCAGGGAATTCTCCCGCATCTGACCCACCACCACCACGGAGGTATCACTTGTGCAAGAGTCACAATATGACTAGGCCTGGGGTGTTCCCAGTCCTGATGTGACTGCAGTGACCAAAGGTCTGGATCACTACATATGTCCTTGAAATATGTGGAAAGCCTTCTCAAGAAAGATGGGCTTAAATAAGCCAGACTGTGAAAATAAATACCTACCTCTTCCGTGACCAGATATCAAGGGGCATACAAAAGCATCCTGAACATTCAGGAAAACACGACTGCGCCAAACACACTGAATAAACCACCAGTGACCAGTCCTGGAGTGAAGAAGATATGCTACTTTTTAGACAAAGGATTTGAAACAGTTGTCCTAAATAAGCTCAATGAACTTCAAAATAACACAGGGAAGGAATTTGGGAGCTTATCAGAGAAATTAAACAAAGAGAATGAAATAAGAAAAGAATACACAGAAATTCTGAAGATGAAAATTCAATTGATAAATAAGACAGGCTATCTGAAAATACACAGTCAGAGGAGAAAAATAGAATAAAAAATTGAAGCACACCTAAAAATTTAGAAAATAGCCTCAAAAGGGCAAACCTATGAGTTATTGGCCTTAAAGAAAAGTACAGAGACTGTGGCAGAACGTTTATTCAAGGAAATAACAGAGAATATTCCAAAT